CGAACAAAATGCATCCAAAGAGTCCTTTTATTTTTTGAGGAGGGATGACCCACAATAGTGTATGCTTATAGGAGATTAGTGTCATTAGGTAAGGCAGTAGACATCCAAAAAGCGCAAGGATCCTATTCCACACCCGGGAAGCGAAATGGCAAGTGGCAAAAATGTGACCTTGCAATTCATCACTAGCTTGGTCTTTTTCTTTCGGATTGGAGTTTGTTTCTATATAACTAGAGTTTGTAGCTCTTTTCTGGGGTTGGTTTTTTTGTATGCAATTGTATTTTCTTTCATTTTGCTCGTTGTAAACTCGATTTCTCATTAAAAAAAAATCATATCTCACTATTTTGCACCTTGAAAACTTGACATTATAGCCAGAGAGCTTTTAATGAGGTATATTTTTTATCCAGCATACTAATACTAGGTTCTAGAAATGAGAAGAATATGGTCGTCTTTTTCTGTCTAAGTTCTAGTGGTACAGATATACAATCAGCAGTGGGTATGAGATATATTTATGGTTTATGATGTAACTAACTATGTAGATTTTAGTTAGTCAGGTAGTTATGATGTAACTAGCTACGTAGATTTTAGTTAGTCGTTAGACCCTTTTAGTTATTGTTGATTAGTTAGTTCTCCTATGAAAAGAGGTTGCTGCATTCTTTTGAGGGATTTTAATTGAAGTTAGTAAATTTCCTTTCTTTGGTTTACACCAGTTTACGGATGGTTAGATCATAATCTGTACTCGTACTTTTACTTTGTACAGTGACATTTGTTTTTTTTTGTGCAATAACATTTTATTTCTTTTGGTTGTTGTTTGTAACATGTTGAAAACTGTCAATTATAAGAAAAATAATTCTCTTGTATATCTTTTAAAGAATTGAGACAAGGCTATAAATAGGTGTCACAAAGAAGAAACTAAAACGAAATTTTTGCCTATTAGGATAAGGAAAACACTTACTAGTAGAACAAGAAAACCCTAACCTAAATACAATAGGAAAAAATAATTTAACACTCCCCCTCAAGCTGGTGAATGAATATTCTCCATTCCCAACTTGTTAACCAAATGCTCAAAGTTGTTGTTGTTCAATCCTTTTGTAAGAATATCTACTATTTGATTATTTGTTGGTACAAATGGAGTGCATATGAGGCTGCTGTCTAATTTATCTTTTATGAAGTGTCTATCAACTTCAACATGCTTGGTTCTATCATGTTGAATTGGATTATGCGCAATACTGATGACAAACTTATTATCACAATAAATCATAGGCCCTCCCATTGAACCTTCAAATCTTATAAAATAATCTTTATCCAGAGTAATTCACAAATGCCCAATGCCATTGCTCTAAATTCTGCTTCTGAACTTGATCTTGCAACTACATTCTGCTTTTTACTTCTCCATGTCACTAAGTTTCCACCTAAGAAAGTACAATAGCCAGAAGTTGATTTCCTATTGTCTATCGATCCTGCATAATCTGCATCTGTATAAATTTCTAGATTGAGTTTCTCGCTTTTCTTAAATAGTAATCCTCTCCCAGTAGTGTTCTTTAAATAGTGAAGGATCTGATACACTGCTTGAAGGTGGAATTCTTTTGGACTATGTATAAATTGACTCACCACTCCTACAACATACGCAATATCTGGTATTGTATGAGAAATATATATTAAGTTTCCAACTAACCTCTAATAAGTTTCCTTATTTACTGGAGGACTCTCTTTAACAGCACATAATCTATGATTTTGATCAATCGGTGTTGCCATTAGTTTGCTACCAAGCTTTCCTGTTTCAAACAGTAAGTCAATCACATATTTCTGTTGTGATAAGAATATTCCCTGTTTAGAATATGCTACTTCTATCTCAAGAAAATATTTCAGTCTTCCTAGTTCTTTAATTTCAAACTCTTGGATTAAACAATTTCTTAGTTTATCTTGCTCATTATTATCATTGCCAGGAACAATAATATCGTCCACATAAACAATCAATGCTGTTACTCCCCCTGTAGCATAATATTTTATAAACAATGTATGATCTCCTTGACTTTGTTTATAGCACATTTTCCTCATAACCTGAGAAAATCTACCAAACCATGTCCTAGGAGATTGCTTTAATCCATAGAATGTGTTTCTTAATTTACAAACTTTATTTCCTGCTTGCTCATACCTTGGTGGAATTTCCATATAAATTTTCTCTTCCAAATCACCATGTAAAAAAATATTTTTTACATCATATTGTAACATGTCCCATCCATGGTTGACAGTAAGGGATAGAAGTATTCGTACTGTATTCATCTTGGCAACAGGTACAAAGTTTTCAAGATAATCAACTCCATATGTTTGAGTATATCCTTTAGCAACTAACCATGCTTTGTACCTTTCAAGTGTTCCATCAGCTTTATACTTCACAGTATATATCCATCGAGAACCTACTGCTTTCTTATCTTTAGGCATATTAACCAACTCCCATGTTCTATTTTTCTCTAAGGCCTGCATTCCAAGATTCATTGCTTGTCTTCCATTCTTCATGTTGTATTACTTCTATATATGTTTTTGGAATATTTACCTGAGTAAGATTCACCATAAAGCTTCTATACTGACTCGAGAGCTTGTCATATGATACAAAGTGAGAGAATGGATATTTAGTACAAGTTCGTTTTCCCTTCCTCAAAGCAATAGGCAAATCCATATCATTAGTAGATACTCTAGTGTCAGGCTCATTACTAATATTTTTCTCGTCAATTTCAGTCCAGAGATATGTTCAGACTCTTGGACTTTCTTATCTTTTTCAGTGTTCCTTTTCGAATAAACTTGTAATGGCATAGTAGTAGGGGGGTTGGATGTCTCCAATGAGGTGTCTAAAGATGAAAAGGATTGACTAGGGTCAATTTCAGTAAGGTTTGGTATAGGTGATGGCAAAGTATTTGAAGGGTTTGAAGGAAAGGTGAGGTTAAGAATAGGTAAATTCTTATCTTCCAACAATATATCCTCCCCCTGAAGATAAGGTGATGTAAAGAAGCTGGTATCTTCATAAAAAATGACATCGATAGAGATGAAATACTTTTTAGAAGAAGGATGGTAGCATTTATATCCCTTTTGAGTGTTCAAGTATCCAACGAAAATACATTTGAGTGCTCGTGGATCAAGTTTGCCTCGTTGATGACTATGAACATGAATAAAAGCTACACAACCAAACACTCGAGGAATCAAGTTATTTGTCGTACAGAAATCAGGGTAAAATTTTGATAGGATATTCATGAGAGTTTTTTATCTAAAGTAGCAGATGGTAGCCGATTGATTAAGTAAGTGGCTGCCAGTATAACTTCCCTTAGAAGGATTTAGGAACATTTCTTTGAAAAAGAAGGGCATGGGTCACAGAAAGGATGTGACCAATTTTTCTTTCGACAACCTCATTTTGTTGAGGAGTTTCCACACAAGACGACTCATGAATGACTCCATGTTTTTGAAAGAGCGATGTTAATGTTTAGTTGAAATAGTCTCCAGCATTGTCAGACCTTAATCGTTTGAGTTTGATTCCAAATTGATTTTCGATCATATGGAAGAATGTTTGAATGGTAGAACCAACATTAGATTTTTGTTTTAGAAGATAAACCCATGAAACCTTAGTACAATCATCGATGAATACAATAAACCAGCATAATTTGGAAGTATTTGGTACGTTGGAGAGACCCCAAACATCACTGTGAATAAGAGAGAAAGGAATTGAAGTTCATTTATTACTAGGAAATGGAACACGCTTGTGTTTAGCAAATTCACAAATGTCACACTGTATTGAATCAAAACTAAAGTTTTGGAACAAATCCAGGAATAAAATTTTAAGAGATCTAAACGAGGCATGCCCGAGTCTATAATGATACAGCCAAAGTTTATTTAAAGAGGGATGAGTTTGTGAGGAAACAAAGACTCGAACATCCTTCCCAACACTATCCTTGTCAATAGGCTCATTAAGATAATAAAGTCCATCTTTTTCTTTAGCAAGTCCAATCGTTTTCCCATTGCCCTGGTCCTGAAAAATACAAGAAGAAGGAAAAAAATATTACTTTGCATCCCAAATCTTTTATCAAATTTCTTACTAATATCAAATCAACAGTTAAATAGGGTATATGGAGCACATTTTTTAAGGTAACATTTGAATTTATTTGGACGTCTCCTTGACTAGCCACTGTTAATATAGTACCATATGCAGTAGATATTTTTTTTATTGCTCGGACAAGGACTATAGAAGATAAAATGACAACTGCTCTTTGTCATATGGTCAGTTGCACCAGAGTCAATAATCAAAGTAGAGAGTTTAGGATGTGAAGTTGTACCTGAAAAGGCTACTGAACATGTACCTTGATTATAATTCTTTTTTAAAGTTTCCAAAAAACTTCTTAGCGTTTCGATCTCATCTGTGTTTAGTTTTCCTGTTTCAAAAATCTCTTATGTCATAACGCCTTTTTGACTTGATCACTAACAGTAGGAGTCATTGAATTCCATAACCAAGACATGATCATTGAATCTTCTTCATCCCATGCATCGAACTTTGGATCTTTCGATTTAGGTCATTCCCCAATAATGTGGTTCAATTTTACTTTTCCTTTCAAGAAAGTTTGAATAAGTTGAGACCATTTTAAATAATTTTTTCCATCCAGCCTATAACTAGGATGGATGTATTGTAGGTCTCCGTGGAAGATTTATTAGTTTCTTCCATGATAGTTTTTTGGAAGCTTTGGTGGAATCCGTTGACTTTGATTAGAGAAGAGTTAAACAAATTGCTTGAGATAGATGGAGTAAACCTGTTGAACCGGACCAAATCAAGTAGAACCAGACCAAAATGCCTGAACCGGACAAAAGTAAACCGAACCGAGGCTAAGCTGAACAGAGGCTAGAAACTGAACCAATAAGAACCGGAAGTCGTGAACCAATCCGAACCGGAAATCGTGAACCGAACCAACAAATGTTTTGATTTCCCTTTTTGAAACCCTAGCAGCCACCCTTTACGACAACAAACATAGCAGCCACGGGAAATCACTTCATCAATGACAGCCACACGAGGCAAATATCCGACGACCACGAAACCTGACGACGGCGGCACTTCTGACGGCGACTCCGACGACTGAACAACTGGCGGTGAAGACGACGACCTTGGCGTCGGAATAGTGGCGATCCAAACCTCGAACAATTACGCGGTGCGTCTGAACGGAATCGACGGTAGCGGTGGCGCGGAGTCTGAACAGGGTCGGCGGCAGAGGCTGGAAGAAACCCTTGAACAAGATGGAGATGGACCCGAATAGGCAGCGGTAGATGAAACCCCACGAATAAGAGAACAGTTAAGAAATTGATCGTTTATCAAGACCAACCAAGAAGAAGCTAAGGCTCTGAAACCATGTCAATTATAAGAAAAATAATTCTCTTGTATATCTTTCAAAGAATTGATACTAAATACAATAGGAAAAAATAATTTAACAAAAACATGAATTTGCTTAGGTATTTGGCTACTATGATGATATTTTTATCTGCATGATTTTCCAGTGCAGTTTGAATGATAAGGTTGTTTTATTTATCAGTGTTCATGCAAAATTTGGAGTGTGCCATTTCCATGGTGCAGGTAAACAGAATGCTTAAGCCAGACAAATGGCAGTCAGCATTTGATAGTGATGGAAAGGCTTTTGGCTTTCAGAAGGCACTCAAATCAATAGTTTTGGGGGTACGTTGTCTTACTATGAAAAAATGCCGAAATTATATCTTAAAAGTAATTTCTTGGGTTTTTTATAATATTTTTTTAGTTCATATTTTATGATCAGGAGAAAGCTATATTAGGTTCTATAATTATTTTGAATATCTTTTTCACTTTACAGGCATCATCATCCTGTTTTATTTGTTTCATCATTAGCAAAAAGGAATTTGATTTAGCCATTTGGATTGCCTGTAATTGTTGAATTTTAATGATAAGGAGAATGACAAATTGACAGTAAATTATATATGAGGTTGGTCGTTGAAAATAATCCAAGTGAAAAAAATACAACAGGATTGGAAAATAGGCGGCGTGTTTCTCCATTGCCCAACTGGTGTGCTAATATTTAAAGGACAATTTTTTATTTTCCCTTCGAGACAATTTTGTTAATGTAAACAAAATTAAAAAGATCACTATAGGATTTATAAAAAGACTCCAATTAGCGAGCATAGAAATTAAAAGAAGAACTCTTGAGTTGGTAGGTGAAGCTGCTCCCTCAGTCAGAAAAGAAGTTAAATCGGGGCTTTTGGGTTAAAAAAGAAAGGGATGTGGTTGAAATGGATTGGAATTCTTTGATGGTTATCTCTAGACTTAGAGTGCATGATAATTGGAAGGCTACTCCTTTGAGAAACCACTTTGAGGTTGATTGTCTTTTTTTTTTCTACAAAATACGAACTTTTCATTGATGAAATGAAAAGGGAAAAAAATTGTTCAGATACAAACTCTCGAAAAACTGAAATAAAAGCATAATGGGAGGAACATGAGAGAAGGGGAATAATGGGAGAATGACTTGGAGAGAGAACACTAGTGAGATGCTTTGAACTTGGCGGATGCGAGGCAATCAAACAAAGATCTTTTATTCTTAAAAATCCTCGTGTTCCTCTCAAACCAGATTTCTGAAAGAAAACTCTTCACCACATTAATCCATAAAAGTCTCGCCGTGGGTGACAAGTGTGTGACAAGTGTGTGACTCCACTTAGTAATTTGAGTCAAATTAGCTTCAGCCCTCAAATAAAAAATCCAATCGATCTTGAATTGACCAAAGAGAGAGATCTAGCCTTGAGTTCCAAAAGAGCAATGGAAGAACAAATGATCAATATCTTCCCCACTCGATTCGCAAAGAACACAAAAAGAAGGAAACAGCGAGGCTGTAGGAAGTTTCTTTTGGATCATATCAGCTGTATTTAACTTCCTTTTGAGCAGAATCCAAGAAAAGATATTAACTTTCCTTGGACTTTTAGACTTCCATAAGGCTGCAAATAATTCCTTAGGCATCGAAGAGCAATTATGCATCTGCAAACTGAATTTACAGTAAACACCCCTGTAGGATCAATAGTCTATACTCTTTGGTCGTCCTCATGAGTAATCGAGAAAGAGCTAATCATGTTTAAAAGGCCAACAAACTCTTGTAACTCATCTTCCTTCAAAGGTATTCTGACATTCTCAAAACAATGTTCCAGGAATCTGTGTCTATATCCCAGAAATCAGAAACAGAACCATGAGGTAACAAGGAAAGCTTATACAATCTAGAAAAACTTTCCTTTAATGGACTAAGAGAGTCCAAGGAGAATGCCTAAAGTAAACCCTACTGCTGCAACCAATTTTGTAGGAAGCAAAGGACTCAACAATCCTCCATTGTGAAGAAATTTTCCTCCATGGGCCTCGGGAACCCCCAAACCTCCTTGGATCTGTCTTCCCCCTCCAAAGTGACATAGGTTCACAGGCAAACTGCCAACCCCATTTGGCTAGAAAAGTATCATTTTTTCTTGCAAGACCACCGATGCCCAGTCCCACCAATGGCCGGTCCGCCATCTTCCAATTAAAGAGAGGTAATATTCCAATTGACCAAATGCTTCAAAGTCCCCTTGGAGTTACCTTCCCATAAAAAATCCCTCATCTTTTGGCACACAGAATAAGGACATATAATAAGTGGGAAGGTTAGCCAAAACTGATTTGAAGAGCCATTGGATGTTGGCTGTTTTAAAAAATATTTCTCTTTCTGGAAGAACTAACGATACTATTGAGGCTTCTAGTTTTAGTGCCCCTATTTTGACAGCTAAGGATTTTGATTCTGCCAATGCATTGTTTGAAGCACCACTCTTAAATGACAGCACAAGTATCGGTCTTAATAATGATGCAATACCAAGTTCTTCATGCACACTCCATCCATTAATATGATTATCAATTCCAATTAAGCCTTTATTACTTTGGCAGACATTTCTCAAGGCTAGAATTCAAACAAAAATTTAAAAGAAAGTTTCTTTTCCTTATCCATGAAGAATTCGAAGAGACTTATGGAACCCTTTCCTCATGTTTACACCATACCTAAATATAGGGTCTTCGGTTCAAATGACCTTGAAAGGATTAATTCGGCTGGATCTCTCTCCTCAAATTTGAATAATGCCTTTAGTGAAGTTTGCAAAGAGACGGTTGGAAATAAAATTACTCAAAAGTCTCTTTTAAACTCAGATGAAGAGATGAATCCAAATAGGCGGTGGTGGAAGAAACCCACAAACAATAAAACAGTTAAGAAATTCAGTAACGAAGACCAACCAAAAAGAAGCCTCAAGGCTCTAATACCATGTTAGTTGATAAGAAAAGAAAATGAATCTTCCTTCCAAAGAATTGATGTAAGACTATAAATAGGAGCTACAAAGAAGAAAAGAAAAGAAACCCTTGCCTATTAGGATAAAAAACACTTACCTATTAGAACAAAGAAACCTAACCTATTAAAACCTAAATACAATAGGAAATTAAAAGATAACAATATAATTTAATACTCCCCCTCAAGTTGGTGATTGAATATTTTCCGTTCCTAGCTTGTTAACCAAATGCTCATCTGTTGTTCAATCATTTAGTAAGGATTACATATGAGACTGCTATCTAACTTCTCTTTTATGAAGTGTCTATCAACCTCAACATGTTTGGTTCTATCATATTTATCTGGATTATGTGCAATACTGATGGCAAATTTATTATCACAGTAAAGTTTCATAGGAATTTCTCATGGAATCTTCAAATCTTCTGAAATAATCTTTGTCCATAGTAATTCGCAGAGGGCAATGCCATTGCTCTAAATTCCACTTCTGAGCTCGATCTTGCAACTACATTTTGTTTTTTACTTCTCCATGTCACTAAGTTTCCACCTATGAAAGTACAATACCTAGAAGTAAATTTTCTATCATCCATCGATCTTGCATAATCTACATCTGTATAAACTTATGGATTGAGTTTCTCGCCTTTCTTAAACAACAATCCTCGGTAAATAAGGAACTTTTCATCTGTATAAACTTATAATTTTCCACTGGTAAGTTTCCTTATTGATGTAGTTAGCAGCTTGTGTGATTTTAAGTCTTTTAAATTCTATTAGTTAGTTTACCCCTTGGTAACTTGTAGTTATCGATAGCTTTGTTCTTTGCCTATAAAAAGGCCTTAGTTGTATCTTATGAAGGCAGAATCTTATCAATAATACTTCCTTTCCTAAGTTGCATTAAGATTGGTATCAGAGCTCCAAGATCCGTGGGCTCCCTATGGCGAACAAAAAGAATCCTTCCAATAGTGGTGATTCTTCTCTCGTCAACAAAGAGGCGGAAGATACTACCGTCCTTTCCCCACGATCCACAACTGTTCGTTTAATGATGGTTGAGGGGGCGGTTGAAAACCTCCAATGGAATGTGGTGGAAATACGCCAAATGTTGAGTACGATGATGGATAAATTGGATTCCTTAAACTTGCAGCACAATCCACCAAAGATGGATCGTGGTAAAGAAGTTCGGAACCAAGAAGTAAGGATTGGCAGCGAACAATATCAACCTGCACCAAGGCTGCCTCAAGAACATCCTTGGGTGCTGGAAAGAATTCATAATCAGCAAGGACAGCCAGCTCTCGATCAAGAATTTCAACATTTTGCTCCAAGAATGTTTCAAGAACCTGTCTTTGTTCCTAGAGGTAATCAAGATTGGCTAGGAGAACGCAATAACCCTAGGAGAAATGACCGTTTTTATAGGCGACAAGAACTACAAGAAGATTCTTCAAGTGAAGAAGAAGAAATTGTCGATTGGCCGCAAGGCAGAAGGAACAACAGAGGACATCACAACTATAATCATGAGGCCACTGAATACAAAATGAAGATTGACCTACCAAGCTTCAACGGTAAGATGGATATTGTTGAGGGGTTTCTAGAGTGGATAAAAAATGTAGAAAGTTTTTTTGAATATATGTCTACTCCAGATAATAAAAAGGTCAAGCTTGTTGCCCATAAGTTGAAAAGTGGCACGTCGGCTTGGTGGGAACAACTAGAAACAAATTTGTCAAAGATTTGGGAAACCTCCTATTCGCACATGGGAAAAAATGAAGAAACTTATGCGTGCACGATTTTTACCTATCAATTCAAGTCCTCTATAATCAGTATCAAAATTGTCGTCAAGGAACACGTACTATAGCCGATTACACTGAGGAATTTCACCGTTTGGGGGCACGCACAAACTTGGGTGAAAGTGAGCAATATCAGGTTGCAAGATTTGTTAGTGGCTTACGGGGGGACATTAAAAAACGGCTTCAAGTTCAACCAATCAGATATTTAAATGCGGCTATAGCAATTACTGTTACTGTGGAGGAACAACAAGCCAATAAAATCAAATTTTAGTATCAGAGGCATAACACGAGTGATGGGCAGTCAACTACTTCAAGAAAAGGTACATCTTTCATTGATAAATCTTTTATTCCAGGTACATCCTCGGGTTCTAAAGGGAAAACCAACGATGATGGTAAAGCAATGGATCAACCTATCAAGAAACAACAAACACTTACAATAGACCCACCTTGGGTAAGTGCTTCCGTTGTAGGCAGGTAGGACATTGGTCCAATGAATGCCCCCAACGAAAGTCGATCACTATTGTGGATGATTCTCAAGAAAGTGATCCATTATGTGACCAAGATTCCAATGAAGAAGTTGCTTATCTTGAACCCGACGAGGGAGAACAAGTTACATGTGTTTTGGAGCGCATTCTTCTAACCCCAAAGACTAGCTCCAATCCCCAAAGACATTCTCTGTTCCGCACATGATGTACTGTCAATGGCAAAGTTTGCAACATAATAATAGATAGTGGGAGTAATGAAAATGTGGTTTCAGATGTACTAGCAATCTCCTAGTGCATGTAATTTGCCTTATCGAAGAACTCTCTTCAGATGCACATAATCTATGGTTTTGATCGATCAACATTCCCATTGGTCTGCTGCCAAGCTTTCCTGTTTCAGAAAGTAAGTCAATCACATATTTCTATTATGTTAGGAATATTCCTGTTAGAATAGGTGACTTCTATCCCAAGAAAATATTTCAACTCTCCTAGTTCTCTTAACTTCAAACTCTTGGATTAAACAATTTCTCAATTTATCTTCTTCATTATTAGTATTGCCAGTGACAATAATATTGTCGACATAAACAATTAGTGCTGTCACTTACCCTACAGTAGAATGTTTTATAAATAATGTATGATCTCCTTGACTGTGTTTATAGCCCATCTTCCTTATAACTTGAGAAAATCTACCAAACCATGCCCTAGGAGATTGCTTTAATCCATACAACCTCGTTTTTAATTTACAAACTTTATTTCCTGCTTGCTTTTACCCTGGTGGAATCTCCATATAAATTTCTTCTTCAAGATCTCCATGCAGAAGAACATTTTTTACATCATATTGTAACATGTCCCATGTATGATTTACCACAAGAGATAAAAGTATTCGTACTCTGTTCATCTTGGCAACAAGCGCAAGGGTTTCAAGGTAATCAACTCCATATGTTTGAGTATATCCTTTGGCAACCAATCGTGCTTTGTACCTCTCAACTGTTCCATCTGCTTTATACTTCACAGTATATAACCATCTTATCTTTAGGCATAGACCAACTTCCATGTTCTATTTTTCTCTAAAGCTTGGATTTCAAGATTTATTGCTTGCCTGCTATTCTTCATGTTGTATTACCTCCATGTATGTTTTTAGAATATTTACTTGAGTAAGGTTAACCATAAAACTTCTATACTGGCTTGACAGTTTGTCATATGTTACAAAGTGAGACAATGGATACTAAGTACAAGTTCGTTTTCCCTTCGTTCAAGCAATCAACAAATTCAGATCTGACTCATCATTAGCAAATGTTGTAATGTTTGACTCATCATTAGGAGATATTATAATGTCTGATTCATCATTAGCTGTTACCAGTGTTTCCGAGGGGCACAGGGCACTCGCCTCAGGCAAGAGGCGAGGCGTTTTTGCCCAGGTGCGCCTCGCAAGGTGCCCAGGTGAGCGCCTTCAATTGGGCGCCTTGGCGCGCCTGTCGCCTGAGGCAAGGCGATC